TGAAAGAACATTGAACAAGGTAATTGTGCCAAATATGATGTCACACCCATGCTGAATGACTGGGTTATTAACAAACAGTTAGTTGGGTTACCTTTTTTGGCTCATACTAATAAACTGATGTCAGGGACAGGGATATTTAACATTTTGTTGCCTTTTCAAGGATATTTTTAGACCACCGATTGTACTTAATTTCTAACAAATCGTTCTCTCTTTTACCAGAAAAGGTATATTATATATCAAATTGAATTTGAAAGGAAAAAACATTTGATAATTTAGCAGTTATCAACTAAAAGTAGGGCTTCCCCTATATTTCACCTGGCATTTGCTGTTTTTTCTACTTTTTTTTACATAATCCTTTCCTGAAAACATCAAAAAACTGTTTCAGGACAAAATAAGCCTTTACAAATGATTTAGTTGTGCTATTGAGTTCAAATATGACATATCTTGGAAGTAATTAAACAAAAGTAAGGTCACCCCAAAAGTGTGTGTGGTAAAATATTGAAATTTCAAATATTATTTTCACCCTCAATATCCACTTAATGACCCTGATACTTACCAAATACAATGGTCAGGTGTATAATAACCTCCTTGATTTTTTTCATGCAATTCTGATGGATAGATAGAGAAATAAATACATTGTTATATTAAATTCGGGCTATTTGATGGCCTATTTTCAGATATTTGGGGCTAGAAATGCCAATTATTGCACTCAAATAGTTGGTTAACAATTTTTAGTTGCTCTTATGTCAGTAAACTATCATAATATTACTCGTTTAGTTGAGAAGAGCATCCCATTTTGAAATAAAAAAATATTTACAATCCCATACTCAAATTTCAAGGGGGGTACCTAGAATGTGACATTTCATATTTGTCCACTGCATATATTTTTCTACATTTTTGATATGTTTTTCAACTGTTATCAATATACAATATAAGCCCAATTTAAAAACTGTTGCAATTTTGGGGATGTTAAACTTCCATTTGCCTAGCCTATAGGCAGATTGTAGTTTAATTATAGTCCAGTAAGAAACTCGAAAATAAAGGAAAAAATTGCAAAAGTTTTTAAACCTGGTGAAATCAATGTGTCTTGGTGAGTAAAAAAACATATCAAAAATCTAGAAAAATCTAAGTGGTGGAAGACTATGAATTTTTGTGCTGAAGATACCCCCCTCAATGACCCCCAAAAATGACAACAATATATTTGAAAAAATTATCACACTACTTTCTTTTTAAAGTTTCCCTTGTTTTTTCATGTATGTATTAGGAAGATATCAAAATTGATAGTTTCATAGAAGAAAGTTTGAAAATATTGAGAAAATTTCATTTTTGTGTGTGTTCATGACCTTACCTTGTATGCTTTTTTCGCCCATTTTTCTCTATAAATGCCTATTATTTGATTATTAAACATAGTGATGCCTTTTAAAAATGCATGAGAGTTGTCCTACCATCACACATTAGACACTATGAATATCAGAACTGTGTGTTAATTTGTTTGTCAGCAAAAATTATTAAAGTTCTTATAATTTGTTCATTTTCTAGGGCCAGTTTTAGGGTCAGGGTGAGAGCAACGTCATCCTTTTAAAATAAGAGGTACATCAACTAAATATTCAACATATTATTGTACCAATGATGTGTAAAATACATTAAAATACAATTTTGGAAATGAACAGAATATTTTGATGTTCTTACTTTTGACAATTCTAACATCATGGGGCAGGGGTGAATTGAAAAGTGGGCGTGGCATTCTTTGGCTACATTTCCTATTAATTTTATGTTGGTAGTATCAATCAGTCATATAATCATCATTTGATATGGTAAACTTGATCATTATTGGTCAATGATAACAATGGGTCGCAAATTACTCACAGTAGATCATAGTAACAAAACGTGATTAATGTGAAATGTGGGCAGGGCCAGGGCCAGGGACCCCTACTTAACTACATTTTTACTTAAAAGGAGTGGTATGTCCAAATATTTTTCAATCTAATTATTGTGCCTGTAATCATCTACCCTTTGCATTCGTTCGACTTCACTTCTTAAAAGAGAGCTTTGTCTTCACTCTTCATTTTACAATAAATCTCTGATCTCAGCGAGCCAATCAGAGTTCGTCATCGAAATACCGACAACTTTTTATATGGTCATTTCCTCTGACATCCCCGCATAGCTAATGAGCACGTATTTTGCGCATGTTCCTTCCACTTTGGTGATTGGTTGAGAAAGGATCAGCGTGGTAGATTTAAAATTATTTATTACCCGGGCTGTCACAGGCACCGATCTTCGGGGCGGTGCTGTTAAACTGAAATATAGTCTATACTAGGCAGAGTGTAGTTTATAACTAGATTCTGCGCACATGGTAGTAATCATCATATTCTTATTTGTTTTATTAGAGCTTCAGCAGTAGCCTGATAAGTGGAAATACAAATAATGTAACCTCAACTGTTAAAATAAGCTGAGGTGCTGACTAAGTTGCGGTCCTTTAGTCCCATTTAATCTATGTCATTTGCTATATATTGACTATGAGGGTATTCTACCATATGTAGGTTTAGAAGAGTGCATGTTGCAATAATGATTCAAAATTTTGCACCGTGATTCAATCCCCAGAGAACATGTGACTCAATCCCTAGAAAGTAACATCCCATAGCCTAATATGGTACTCAGACCATAAGATAGTTCAGCTACCACAGCCTAAGATGGTACATTCTACAGACTCTAAATTGGGCACAGCCTCCGGAGTCTTAAGATGGAAACGTTCTCCAGAGTCTAAAATGGTACAGCCTCCATTGTCTTAGATGGTTACAGCCTTCAGAATATAAGATTGTACAGCCTCCAGAGTCTGAGATGAATACATCCTCCAGAATCTAAGATGGTTTAGCCTCCAGGGTTTAAGATGAATACATCATTTAGAAGCTAAGATGGTACGTCTCAAGAGTCTCAATATGGGTACAGCCTAAGCCTCCAGAATCTAAGATGAATACATCCTCCAGAATCTAAAATGGGTACAGCCTCCAGAATTTAGAAGATGGTACAGCCTCTTAAGTCTAAGATGAGTATAATATCCAGAATCTAAGATTGTACAGCCTCCAGAGTCTAGCTAAGATGAATAAATCCTCCAGAATCTAAGATGGTACAGCCTCCAGGGTTTAATATGAATACATACTTCAAAATCTAAGATCGTGCAGTCTCCAGAATCTAAGATGGTACAGCCTCCAAAGTCTAAGATGAATACATTCTCCAGAATCTTACTACTTCCAGTGCCTAAGATGGTCATAAGAGTAATGGGTTATAAGTCAGTACCACTTTTTGTCATGCATGAAACACATAAAATGTCATCTTATACAGTTGTTCTTTGGATAATTTGATTATCCCTAAATTGTTCTGAGGTCACTTGTTCCATCAGTAGATTTTTTATGTGATACACATATCATAGCTGGGGCAAAAAGAAAATTATTCCAATTCCAAAGCAATCTTAAAAAATTCCAGCTTCACCAACGATGCTATTTTTCATTTGATGCTAGCATGCAATGACATAATACCAAATCCGAAAGTTTGGAGACTTATTAGACCAGACTCTTACAAACAACTTTATATCAGAAAGATTGAGACACAATGGAAGTATATATAAATATGTTTTTGCAAGTATATTAAAACTTGAATTGTGAAAACAATTCAAAAGAAGATAATTTCATTACTTATACTAACAATCTCTCCCCATACAAGTGGGTCAACAAGGCCCCAAAATACTTTAACACCTAGATATTGATCATTGACCTTGGAATGATTTTGACCCATAACATTGACCTTGACTTCAGTTACCTAATCATGGGTCGTCAAGGGTCACAGCATCCCCCGAGGATCTTAGATCAAAAATCGATTCTTCATTCAAAAAAAAACAAAATCATAAAATGATACATTTGCAAAGAACTATGTCTATTTTATATGAAGCTAATTAACATACAATTAATTAATGCTATCTCTATTTGAAATCAGTCTAATGAGAAAAACCCAATTTTGTGATATTCAGTTATCAATTAAATCTGCTCTCTATTTAGGTAAAGTTATAATTTGTTCTCAGTACTGTACGTAAGTACATGTTTTCATGGACATAGTGGATTCTTGAGAACAATAGTCCTCAAATTACTATGTATATAAATCCAAGCCACTAGTTAAACAAAACAAGTATTTCTAAAAAAATATTAATTGGTAATTCTAATACTTAAGAAATTTAATTACCTACCAGTATTATAATTACTAAATATTACATAAGCACCAATAATGAAAAATTACTTAGTACAGAAATATGTAATAAGTAATTGTAATTGCAATACAAGTAATTTATTTTTTACTTTAGTAAAATGTAAATTACTGGAATTACTAGGTTGAATATTTAATACTGACCAAGTAATATAAGTACAAAAATTTAATCCCTAAAGGTACAAAAACAATTACTTGGCCTAGTAATTGAATTACGTAAAAATGTAAAAATAATACAATCACAAGTATATATATTTTAGAGTGATATATGTTTGAAAGATATGAATGCAATTATCCATATAGAAATTTCTATACAAGCAGTAATATTTCAAAATAACACAATCAAAATGTTCTTCATCTCAATCCAATATTTGGTAAGAACACGTATGTTGGGCATTAGGATGAATACTTATCAATAAATGACTTTCTCAATTTGTTTATTAGGTAAATTCATAATTTTGTGAGAATATGTATATACAATATGAAAATAAACATGAATGGCCGAAATATATAAAATTCATTCTATTTTCGTGTGTTGGGTTTAAGGCAGGGACACCATAATAGAATTATGAAATAAACATATGAAATCAGATAAGATAGTTTCGTTATGGGGAAATTACTTAGAACTGCAGGAAGAATCAAGTAACTGTCAAAATCAATACTAACGAACCGGTATAGTCTATTTCGATTTCTTAATACTGCATACTCTCTCTCTGCTTACTATATAACATGACCATTAATGATCAGTACGAGGGGGGAAATTGTAGATGCTCAACAGTGCATGAGTAAGAGAGAAAGAAAGAGCAGATTCGGACATGTGCCAACCGATTTGTGACGTGAGTATGGAACATTACGTTAATCTCTTATTAAAATAGTTGGATACGTATAGTAAACAACTTGATTCAAAGAAAGTAATACACTGATTTTTAATATGTCGAAGACAAATATTCTTATAAAACGAACGGACAGTAAGGTTGGGTGGGGTTGGGGTCAGCTATCTAAACACCGATCGAATTTATAATGTCAATATCCGATTCAAATCACGCTATTTGCTTGTACAATTAATGTGGTCAGCAAGTAGATAAAATTAGGGGTTTCTCTTATCTGTGACCTAGGCTCCACAAAAATGGTAAGATTGGTCCATTAAGAAGAAATATACTGACAAATATAGTAAGGGATGCCTACAATTACTATATAACCTACTGCTGGCCATTATTGCAGTAACGTAGCATGCAGTTGACCTCATAAGGAGGTTTCTGCCTAATGGTTTTATTGTATAAAATTCATGAGTAAGGGGCACTTATAGCACAAGATTAAACCATTAAGGGGATTCGTGTCTTAGGGTTGCTTGGCATACAGTTAAAACATTAAGGGGATTCGTGTCTTAGGGTTGCTTGGCATACAGTTAAAACATTAAGGGGACTCGAGTCTTAGGGTTGCTTGGCATACAATTAAACAATTAAGGGGATTCGTGTCTTAGGGTTGCTTGGCATACAATTAAACAATTAAGGGGATTCGTGTCTTAGGGTTGTTTGGCATACAATTTAAACAATTAAGGGGGTTCGTGTCTTAGGGTTGCTTGGCATACAATAAAACAAATAAGGGGATTCGTGTCTTAGGGTTGCTTGGCATACAATTAAACAATTAAGGGGATTCGTGTCTTAGGGTTGCTTGGCATACAATTAAACGAGTAAGGTAGGAAGAGTCCCAGCATTAAGGTTTTGTGTTTTAAAAAGATGAAAACACACATGAAAAACATCATATCGTCGTAGTACGTTATGTCATTTTTCAAAGTGATGTCTCAGTTGTTATACGACCAATTTCATTCTGGCAAGTCACTTTGGATCATGATGAAATACATTGACGTGTCGCAAAAAGTTCGCGCACGCATTGTTACACATTTTGTGGCGTAATCCAGAGGATCCTCGCTTTTAACATGATAGAATGTGACGTTTTTGAGAAAAATGTACACACATGAAAATCCTTTCGTCCTCCACATTTACCTCTATATCTCAACACATTTTAGACGAATAACTCTGATATCATATATATATTGTTAATGGGCTAGGAGCATCATAAAACACGAATCAATTGATATTTTAGGTGAAATAAATATACGTGTTGCTGTGCTTGAAAATAGGCGAATGGCGTAAATTAGCCCTATTTTAATGAATTTTGAAAACCTTTCGTCCTCCACTTTTCCACATACAACAGAAAACACATACTTTTGTGAACAAAATCAACTATTTATTAATAAAATAGAGTTTAGGAGCAAAATAATCATGTATGATTTATTAAAAATTGATCTCGTATTTTTTGTTTAATGTACACCTGAAAAGTTGAAGGTACCAAAAAATGAGCAAAAAAGGTCGCTGTCAACAGATTCTATTTTTCAGGCTCTATGACGTCACAATATGGGACGCTTACTAAAATTCATCCTCTGAAATAAAACTTCCATCTGCCTTTATCAAGACGAAAAATAAGTATAATAGTCATATATTGTTTTAGTTATGAGCGTTTAAAGACGAAAAATAATTCAAAATGTAACGTGTCAACATGGGATATTTGCCAGATGTTTTGGTAAAAAACTCTTTTTTAAAAACGAACGCGCAAAAAATGTGAACGGAGTGTAGTTGATCTAAAATCTTCATCGAAACAGCTTTAAAATGATATATAACTTTAATTAGAATATTATCTTATAATCCGGGGAATCAAAGTTACATTCACGCGATACCCTTAAAAACCAAATGCGCCACCTTTTTGCGACACGTCATTACATTACGTATGTTCAGTATGAAAATAACAAATGAAACACACACTTAACTTTATTGGTCTTTAAAATCACGTCGTCATCTTAGTCAATCTGTTAAAAACTATATTCAATTTGAAAAATAGCTTTCCAATGGAATGCTTAAATGATTAGTCTCTTTTGATCGTTACAAGAGAACGCATGCAATAGTATATTGTGTTCAGTAAGCAGTATCAGTATTTATTGGAAAAACGTAATTTCCATTAACTATAGGCCTACGTTTGATTTCAGTAAAAACAGATAAGAAAGATTCCCATATTAGAAACGATAGGTTGGCAGGTCAGGTACCTAAATATTTGCTTTAAGTTAGCTTTCGTTTTAACCATTTAACATAATTGAATAACAAAATGGTTAAAAACGTTGCTGACAATTGACAATTATTCAAAATCGAATTAAACAAAACTTAAGGCTGCAAATATGGTAGCTCGTCTCTTACACATTTTCCCTCAGACCCTGTTTTGAGGCTACCTGTGGAAAACACCGACCGGTCAGTGTTCAGTGAGGTCGGTCTTTTTCTTAAACCTTGCTATTATGTTCATACTTACAGTACTTATGCATTGCTGAATATTTAAATTTCAGCACAGTCAACGTTCACAGACCACGTTCGTTCAATAGGAAAATCCACCCATGATAATGTAAATGTTTGCATTGACGTTTTGCCGAACACGCAAAAGAAAAATATAGCCAAACGTCTGATGAAAATATGACATCTGCAAAAGGAAGTGAACATTTGAATGAACCTCAATGGACAGATTTTGAGACTGAACGTTTCTGGCGGGTCATGGAACCCTACATCCGGGGACTTATTAGTTGCAGCATTGTCAAACAGACGGATATAAACTTTAGTGACCTTGACCCAAATTCTAGGAATGAGTTAGACGTTTGCTTGGGGGAGGTGCAGAAACTGTTGTGGAGTGGTAAATATACACAGGCGGTTTATAATCTAAGAGCGATACAGTCATTTTTCAATGACCCAATATTAGGAGAATATGGGACGACTTCTAATCAGGATACACTTAGCATTCTTAAAGCAATATTCACGAGAAAACTTCCACCCAGGTGAGATATACATGTATGTGTTAATATTTCATACATACTGAGGTTCTAGGTTCTAACGAGCGGGAATATATAGTGTATCTTAAGAGAGCTATCACCAAGGCCCGGGACGGGGATGGATACACGCTGTATCCATCCCGGTCCCGCTCCTGAAAAAGTCACATTTTTTCAATCTTTAAAAAAAATTCAAAATTTATTTTCATTTTTTTTTCAACATTTTATTTCCATTTTTTTTAATTTAAAAAAAAATTGTCAACATTTTTTCACATTTTTTTAAAATGTTTTTTCTATTTTTTCTATTTTTTCACATTTTTTCACTTTTTAAAGGATAGGTATAAATATGGAGAACTGAATTCAACAATGTTTTTCTCTTAAAATCATTGAAAACATTCTGTAAAAAACATGGTATTTTATGTAATGTTGACTGACTGACAACAAATTAATGCGAAAATTATTTAGAAATATTTGACATAACTGTTTTTGTTAACATTTTTTGTTTTTTTTAGTGCAATTGTTTTTGCTCCTTTCTACAAATTCTTGAGAATGAAATAAAATGTCTTTCCGAACCTTGGTGGAACAATATAGCATTAACAACATGTTTAGACCTCTCAATATTAAAGTTATACAAATGAATTTTTGGTTGAAATTTAAAAAAGTATTCAAAAAATTAAAACCAAATCCCTCCAAAATATATAAAAATCAAGAAAAACCTTTTATTTCATTAACAAGATACTTTTTTAAAATCAGCCAAAATTTCCTTTGTACAATTACAATATTGCGAGACCTAGACATGTTGTGTTTATGTCGTTTTGTTCCAATGAGGTTCGGAAAGATGTTTCATTTAACTCTGGAAACATGATACCAAGAACAAAACAAGTGTTTGATGTGTTTTAAAAAAATATAGATGAAAGTATGTATATATCTATTTCAAATTTTATTGTTACCATTCAAAATATGGCCATTAAATTGACAATTTGTAAGATTTTCAGAAATTTTTGATGACTGGTTTAAAGGGTGACGCATATCGTTTAGCAAATCGAACGCTCGTTTCTGGTGTTGCTCACCGTTTAGTATAAAAGGCCCGATCCCGGAATAATACTCAAGGGTTCACAGGTTCGAGCTCGTTGTGTGAACACCTCTAACTGTTATATAGCATAAGTATATTATAGATCGTCACACATTTATAAAAGGGTGATTTTTATTTTGACAAATCAATTCCACATTTATGGGTGAAGTTTCAGGATCTTCTATTTGTGTATAATAAGGAAAAATTGGCATCTAAATTTCCCCATAACGTAATAGCACACAGTTTGGCATATGAAATATCCTACAAATGAAACAAAGCAAGACAAACCGGTTTCTAAAACAAGGATTTATATTGGCTGTTGTACATGTATTCTTTGAACGCAATCACTCTTTGGATAACGTTTTCAAAATCATTATAAACGGATTACTTTATCTCAAAGACAATTTCAATAAACTGGATTTTACAGAACTCCCCTTATTTCTTAAAAATGGACTGATCCAGTTGATTCGCCTGGAGCCGCCATGTTGTTTTTATACGGGATGCTAATCGGAACCCTTTAAGAGAAACGTGTGTTCAAAAAGATCGCCATACCAAATACCATATGTCCCTGCGGTCCCTCGGGAGATACACATTTTTCCCCTGGGATAAACCCTGTATCCAAAGCCTCCCAGTACACAACCCTTATGTTCGTATTTCATAGCTACTGATGTTCTAGGTACATAACGAGCGGGAATATATAGTGTATCTAGGGAGCTATCACCAAGGCCCGTGACCAGGATGGATACACGCTGTATATTGAAAAATAGAGTTCCAAGTGAAATGTTGAGATGTTTATCAAAATTGAATTGTCTTCCAGATGACGAAGATTCGAGAATTTTGTCGCATCACTCATAGAGTTATTTCATGTTTTTCTTGGTTCAATTGCTTTGGGACACCCTGTAAATACCTTAGCACAGTGAAGACTTAATTTTGATATTACTAGAACTAAAGTTACGATTTGTATTTATTTCAGGAGAGCATCGCTGGTTCAAATGCATTGCAAGGCCAGCTCAATCTGAATAATGATATCTACAAAGAAATTAAACAATGGGAGATTTTACAGTTTCAACAAAATATAAAGAATACGGGTGAGGTGAGACGTTCATTCCCAAGGCTAGTCCATTACCATGCAGTTATACGCAAATTCTTAAAATATACATTGAAATGGAAAATATTAATATTTAAGATTTCCAAAAAAGAACTTGCAAACGATGACATACAGTATCTCAAAACTGTCAAGAACTCCCTTTAGTTTTAAACCTAAAGATCAATAGCTTTGGGAATAATCTACATCTATGGAATTCGTCTTATAATTAGAGCAATAAAGAGTACATGTAGAGAGTATATATTAGAGAGGTTAAGCTACACCCACAAGACAAAATCGTATGGAATAAATTGCAATAAGATGGTTATTAAGCTTGGTATTATGGTCTTACTAGTGGTTATTATTGAGTAATGGTACAGGTATCCGATATGGTATTGCAGCTTACACTTAAGTAATGGTACACGTATCCTTGGATTTTAGGCCCGAATACCGAGGTTTATTTTTTTGATTATCGTGTATTATTATTTTGTGTTAATATTAGTTAACCATCTAACTATTGGCTACCTTCTGCATTCGTTTGACTTCGCTTCTTAAAATAGAGCTTCGTCTTCGTCTTGTAGTTTAACTACATGTAGACTCTGCACGCAGGGTAACTATTGGCATGATATTGATAACCTTGTTATATTAATATAGCGCATAGGCGTAGCCAGGGGGATGCGATGGGATGCGATCGCACCCCCCCCCTCCATAACCAATGAAAATAGAACCATTAGATAGAAGAGAAAAGTCTTAAAATGCTTTTTTTTGAAGCTTCTAGCTCGATTTTGAACGAAGTTGCACCAATTTTTGTAAAATTCAAAACAAATCTTCAAAAACATTTTTAATGCCACGATCGCACCCCTTCCCCCCCCCCCCCCCGACTGAAAGCTGGCTACGCCACTGTAACGTGTAATCAATACGCTACATTTTGTATGTTCAATTTGTATACTAAAAACTGTTATTAATCCACAGATTTAGATGAAGACAAGATAAAAATCCGAATCAAGAATGAAAAGGTGTCTAAGTATATAAATCTTAAGGGTAATGCATATTTGAATTAAACAGAGGCGGGTTAATTTATATTGTGCTAGGAATTACGCTATTATTCAAAATTGCAGCTAAGGTGCCTGTTTTATGAAAAATATCACGGAAGATGTATTTTAGATATCAGTAGTATTCTCAGAAATTTATTATCCGAAACGGATAACATCTGGCCACTCAGACAAACAATCGCAGACATAGGTTAAGCTTGTTTATTTAACAGTTAGATTTGTTGACTTACCGATCCGTATTTCAATCTCCGGGAACACGTTCTTTTCACTTTGTATTTGCGTGCAGTGTAATATAAGTTGATACTTTTGTTCAAAAATGTACTTTTAATGGCCATTTTATGCCTTTTATTTTCAAATTATGTTTTGTTTTGATGACAGTGTGAAAAGTCAAGAAACGTCAACCCCGACTTTTAATTAAAAAATGTTGGTTAATCACTTATGGCAAATCACAAGGTTGATGATGTCAACGGACCATGATCGTGGAAGGCTATCAATATCAGGTGTATATCGCATAGAAAATAAATATTGCTAATATTTCGCACTGATATGATGATGACTATTCTGGCGAATCTGGTAGATATTTCTCAGTTTTTCCCGATAATAAAACTATTCATTTCTATCAATTTTACAAACGGGGTCCTTTGAATGCACATAAAACTATAAAAGTATTTATTTGGCGTACATACTGTAAAACTTAATATTTAATACTAACCAATGCATCAGTTAATATTTTCAGAATACAAATTTTCCATTTTTATTTCTCTGATAGATAAAGTCCCATTTTGAATCTGTTCGTGTATTAAAGAGTATGCTTTTATAATGCCGTGGTCACATTTGCTCAGATTTTCAGCACCGGCGCCCAGCCGATGAGAATTTTGTTCAAAATTGTATTCAATTCTGAACAAAATACTCAATCGGTCGGGCGCCGTAATGAAAATCGGAGCAAATGTTACCAAGTCATAACTGATGAAAAATCAAATGAGAACATGAACATGGATAATAGGGGCACTATTACGCTGCGTGCAGAGTCTAATTATAAACTACGAGAAGACGAAACTCTCATTAGAGAAGTGAAGTCGAACAAATGCAAAGGGTAGGGTACTATAGAAGGGGATCATATAAAAGCACGATCTATTTCACAACGCCTTTAACTTTTGTTCTTCAACTGTTGCCCTTTGTGCATTTCAAAAATAAAATATCTTAATCTGATTTGTTCCACCTTTCTTTTCGCTCAGTTCTGCAATATTATGTTGTTTAGGATTATGTCATTTGCGAAATAGCTGTAAGACATTATGTGAATGAATATGGGAGTTTCCACGAAAAAATGAGAATCTAACATTTAATGATAACAAAAGGATTAATTGCTTAGTTCTCTTTGTTTTAGTCTTTGTTTTCTTAAATGCGGAAGTGTACCAACATCACCTAGATTACATAAGAGATCATCTAACAGTCTAAAATTGCTTTTAATTGCAAGTTAATGCATTCCGACCTAAATTTGTATACCTGTAATTGGGGGGGGGGCGATGTTACATCACATAACAACGTTCATATAGAAATATACAATAAGCATGTCCGTATAAAAGCTAAAATTATAAAAACTCATTTCAAAGTCATTCTGTTCATGGAAGCGTCAAGTTATGAAAAACAATGCTAAACACTCAAACAAATCGACTTGATTACCTTTGAAAACTTCTTGAGAGGAAATGGACAAATGTATTTTTCTAACTCATTAGAACGTCTGTCTGATTGAAATACTATTTTTAAATACAAACATAAATGATTTAATCTTAGTCAGAAGTCTGAACATTGTCCAACAAAATAATAAGAATCTAACATCTAATGATTACAAAAGGATTAATTGCTATAGTCTTTGTCTTAGTCTTTGTTTTTCTAACGGCGGAAGTGTACCAACATCACCTTGATTACAGAAGAGATCATCTAACAGTCTAAAATTGCTTTTAATTCCCGGGTTTTAATTACATTTTATGTATAGACTTTTTTGCCTCTATTCTCATTTTTAAACTTGTTTCTGTTTGTTTATTTAACAATTGTGATAAATTATTCAGTTAGTGTCGAAATCAAAACAATTTTCTACATTATAGTCCCCTCCTCTTGCACTGACTAAATATTAAAATAAGCTAGTCTGATTGCGAATTTACAAATCCTGTAAAAGTAGCTTCAAACCGCCTTTTGATCAAAGAAAACAATAAGTTAATTCATCTGATTGCGAAAATACGAATCAATCTGATTATCTGATCTCCATGCTATTTGATTCGTGCATTATCAGGTGCCTAATTAGTCTTTTGATCTCTAAAGTTTTACGACTGAACGTTTCAATGAACTCGTGAGAAGCAAACGCAATCATCATATAAACATTTTTCTAGTAAATCTAAAATAGAGTAAAACCCAGGGAAAAAGATCGCGTGTTCATAGAAATTAGGCATATTTCAATTTTGAAATAACAAAAGTCAGTCTCGGAAGAATTTTCCAAGCATTCCCTGCTTCGATGCGTTTTTATTGCAAGGGCCGTTTAGCGCCGATATGAATTCATTATAGGGCATTAGGGTTGTGCTTTATTTGTTTTATTTATATAAATGTTATAAAATGTGTACGACACTTTAATGAATTATTTTTAGGGTATCAATGCATATTTGACTTTTCCCTCTAAACGTTTAAAATTCATCTTTTCTTAGTTTGCTTCAATAAAATTAACATTGGATCCCAGACAGTTATCAAATTCTCAGACATTTGATTAATATAGATATTTGTACTTCCTTTGACCAGTGGTGCTGGAGTGACTGAGATTCGAATCTAATCTGTTTCATTTTTATGTAAATTGAGAGGAATCAAGTTTTATTTTCAGCGTTTTAACAATCTTAACCTGCGGTTAGGTACCATATCTTGATTACGGTAAAGACAGGCCATCTCATTCTGGTATGCCAGAGCCACTCTTATCTGCCGATTGTGGAAGGATAAAGACAAAGGGGTCGCGGCTATCGCGATTAGGCCATCTTATTTCTAGGAATTATTTCTGCCTCTCATTCCTTAAACCGGCTTCGTTAAACAGTGCCAAAATATATAAGTCGGAGCCAAAAACAAGACTATTTTTATATTTAAATCCCCTCACCTTGTCAATGTCTATGCCTGCATCTGGTTTTCCCACCTTTGGGAGGGAGCCAATATACACATAGATTACTTACTGGCCATGGACAGGGGGGGGGCACAGAAACGAACATTCTGGGGTCATAAGGGATACTTGGGGAAGGAGAGAGGTGGTGGTGAATAGTGAAGTCCGGGAGTGAAGTTAGTGGGTACTGAAATCTTTCTTTTGATATTTAGTGCTTGAATGGAGACTTGTTTCCACTCCCCGCATTCTAGTAGAATTTAAATATTTGATCCAAAGGAGTTATTTTAAATCAAACTTGCATTCCGATTAATTAACACTCCAATGATTGTACCGCTTCACTATTGTCTAAGATAATTATAATGAATTCACGGGACACTATAGTCTTCCTTTTAAACTTTAGTGGTTGGATGGAGACTTGTTTCCCCACCCCGTACACTAGTAAATTTGTAAATTTTAAATATTTGATTTAGGGAGGTATTTGCAATCCAACTCTGATGATGCAAGACTAGTCAGCCAAGACTAAATTATGAACTTATTATCATTTAAACTATTGAGTTCATTAAATTATAATTCCATAGATATCATATTTAATCCTGTCAACACAATAATGGTATTAATTGGCATGATATGTAGTCAGAGACGGTTTAAAAAGTTGTTTAGTATAGATAGTATTAGGAAAAATCCTAACTCAAAGTTTTTGTTCTCTCGCAATCCAGAGCAAACCACTCGCCGGGCAAGCATTCTTTAAAAACGTAAAGTTTTCACCATGTTGAGCAGTTTTGAAAATTGTCCAATTTGAACCATCGCCTTGTATATTTGTGTAACTGCCCCCCCCCCCTTGACACTCGAGTGTAAGAATCCTTTCCACACTGTCAATGGTTTTACAAAATAGTTCATGTCAGGAAGGGGAGGGGTGAGTGTGGAGAACAATCACTGACTGCGATTTGTATGATTGAACATTATACACTTATCATAGATTCGTAAAGAATAGTTTTAAAATAAACAGCTTGTTTTATGTTATGATTGGAGTGATGTATGCATAGAAGAATGACACTGGTTTTGAAATATCTTAATCATCCCATTGCATGAAGACATCCGTCCCTCTGTCCATTCTAAACTCATACTAGTGGACTGATTTGATTTAAAGGAGAAGTCTCGGTGTAGAACGTGTACACACTAATGGGAACGAATTTTACTCATTTCTATTTAGGATTCGTTCGTATACTAGCGGGGCTTTAGAGCATTTACAAACGCACGAATTGTATTGTTTTAAGGCAACTTTTATGACATATAATGTATTTAAAGCTGATTAATTTTAGATTATACTCGGTTCAATTTTACAAATAATGAATAGTATTACAGTATATCGAAAAATATACAATGATTTACATTAAATTGCTCAGACTGCAAACAATGTACATGGTTGGCGAATTTGCATGCGCGTTCTTGATAATAAGAATTAAAGGTTGAACTTAAAAATCAAACATTTTCTTTTTTAAACATAATAAATCTTTAAATCAAGAAAATAAAAATAAGATTGATGATTGAGCTTTTCATAGTCAACTGCGACTGCGTCGACGCATGTTTATTTACTTAGCTAATTAGATATGTAAAATTGTTAATCGCCGCAACGGATAATACGTACATGTAAGCTGTTCGGATAAGACATTTCTATATGATTAATAACAAATCCCAGGCAGAATGTTATTCAACAGTAACTGATCTTATTAGTTATTATTCAATTTGGATAACAAATCTATTATCTCGTCGTATTGATGTTTATTATATAGTGTTTCTCGTTGTGACCGTACGATACCTTTTTATGTGAATTTTCCATGAATTATTACACGAAACAAATCATAATGTCGCTGTGCTGAAAATCACAGCGACATCGAGAATTATCGTCAGTATTCCTACATTTAACTTTGTCATTTTTATAGACAAAAAATTAGAAAGAACAATAAAATGTATCTTATATAGAGCAAAAACTGACTTTGTGTTTATGCAAAGTTGAGACTGCAGTTTTTAAAGGGGCGACTCGCAAAAATCAGTTTACCCCTCTAGGTTTCTGATCGAATCTCTAAAGTAATACTCCAATACGCGATAAAGTTTAGTTTAGTTCAGTTTAGTTACCTCCCGTTTGAAGAGCTCTCATGTAGGGTACAACTTCGTCTACACCCGGGTTCTCTCCCATTGGATTACATATGGGTGCGATTTTCAATAATGGAAGATCGGAAGCAGGAAAACTGTCATTTTGTCAAGATTCACGCTAGTTTTATCAGAATTTGTTGAAATTTTTTTCAAGTACGCCTAATCGTCCGCCATTTCGATACTGTATACGTATGCTCTGATGTAATCATCGACCAATGGAATTAGCTGATCGTGACCTTTGACTTTGCAATATCCGGTCGTTTTGTTCCGAGTAATCGATTCATTCGGCGGGCCAATGAAAACTTGTCCCTTCCAAAGCGATGCATCATGTGAGCTATTTATGTAAATTACCACCTGAACTCTTATTGCGAATTGGAATATTGAGAGCTATCCAACGGCACAAGGCCTAATTCTATTGGAACATACAGTATTGATCATTGAGTAGCATATTATACAAACCAGCCATTGTCAATACCAATCAATGCAAAAATACACGTCGACTTAAAAATATAACATGCAAAATGTCAATAAATGTATACAGCATCACATAAGTACATGTAACCATTGATCACATGCAGCTTATAATCCAATAAAAACGCAGGAAATGCACCACGTGATTCGATTCGATAATTAGCGAATAAAAGAGAATCGTTTGATGAGCTAACTCCCCTACGGCAAATCATTCATATATAGATCGAGAATAACAATGCGATATAATAGCCATGGTCCCAATGAGAAGTGCATAACTGCAGTGATTAATAGAGCAGCAGTACACTGTGTAACAGCAGAGGCTCAATATTAAGAACTACTACATATTAGGGAGATCGATAAAGGGAGTAGACTTCCGTTGCTTTGGATTGAATCGCTGCTATGTTATATAGAGACTAGAATGTAAATCGAGGACAACTCATATTCCTTATGGAGGGAAGTGTAGAGGCATATAAGCGGATATCTGATCATTGACCGTAAGTAGCCAGAGCACATTAAAAATGTGCCAATATGTCATGGGTCTCCGAGTGTTACACTTAATTTAAGAGTATATCATTGAATATATAACCTAATCGTATCCCACCTATCCGACGAATTTATTACAATTTATCATGATTACTGACGAATATATTAATTTATAGTCTAAAAGATAAAATAATTATTGGCTTTTTAAGCGCAAGTCTTTTTAGATTGGTTTATATTGGCTTTTATTACCTTTATATGTGGTAAATAATTTGGCAGTGGCTATATTATACTTAGCTTTAATTAAACACGAATAACATTGTGTTTTGAGCTTTCCAACAATTGGTTAATGGGCTCAAATCAATTAGTGCTCATATACAATGCTCGCTATATGGTGATTTTGTATAACCTGAGGTTAAAAGTATGTAATAAAGTATTAAGTAACAAGTATTCCCAAACGCTGCACTTTTTAATGTTAATATGCTATTATTCAAGGCATTAACATGACAAAATGTGACCACCTTGAAAGTTATTGGAATTGTTACAGACGCCGAACGCAAATGGTTACAGATGCTGACCACAGAACACTGTCTGCAAAAAAAGTTTGATATTATAACAATATGAAACCACACTTTTGGTGGTGACATTACAATAATAATGTGAGTTTTGGAGGAAATCCTTTTTTGGATAATTGATTTCAGTAAAGGTAAAGGGATCGATTTTTTTTCTTATTGCAACGACTTTTAGGATAAGCCAAAGAGGGGGAGAAACCCCAGGGTTCAAAGATGACATACGCTTATAATGTAAATCTGTATTGAGATGACATCGTCGGTGATTGATTTAGCGAGTCGATCGTTAATTGGTTTAAACTAGGTCAATTTGAAAACTTTGAAAGCCAAGATGGAGGGTAAGTACTTCCGGGAAAGGAGGTGCGCGAAAGAGGAAATCGCATGTCATTAATCGAATCATGGGGTTTTCCCTCCTCTTGATAAATATAAGCCACTCGAAACATAACCTTGAATCTACAATATAATCCCTCTCTAACATAAGGAAATTAATATTCTGTCTAGACATGCCTAAAATGGCATCGGGGTACATAATACACCCTATGCAGACAGAGCCTGTGGGAAATATCGGGTGCGGCGCAAATGAGCGGAGGGTGCGGAGCTAACGGTCATTTTTGAATTTAAAATTGGAATATTTCTGAAACTAAGCCGTTTTGGGACTTCAAATATACCAAGATATGTGTATTTGACACCAAATATCAATAAAATTGTGAAAATAGTATTGCAATTCATTTTATAGCGACGCAGTATGCCTTAAACATTTCCCAGACCTATATATTTTGAGACTTTCCTTTTAATACTGCGTCCCCAGCATTCATAAAAAATGGTGTTCAAGATACACTACCCATGCAAATTATTTTTGCATCTTGGAAACCAGGCAGTATCTGTGTGATTTTATAAAAATTCGGAATTTTTTTCAGATATGAGCCCCCTCTAAATATTGGGTGCGGAGCTACGTTTATGGAGCTGCTCCGCACCCAATTTTTAGAGGGGGCTCATATATGAAAATTTCCGAGTTTTTTTTTAAATTCACACAGATACTGCCTGGCTTCCAAGATGCAAAAATAACTTGTATAGATAGTGCACCTTGAACACCATTTTTTATGAATGCTGGGGACGTAGTATTAAAAGGATAGTCTCAAAATATATAGGTCTGGGGAATGTTTAAGGCATACTGCGTCGCTATAAAATGAATTGCAATACTATTTTCACAATTTTATTGATATTTGGTGTCAAATACACATATCTTGGTATATTTGAAGTCCCAAAACGGCTTAGTTTCAAAAATATCCCAAATTTAAATTCAAAAATAACCGTTAGCTCCGCACCCTCCGCTCATTTGCTCCGCACCCAATATTTCCCACAGGCTCTGTCTGCATAGGGTGTAATACAGCTATGTCAACGTTAATACGAGGGGCCTAAATTATATTCTAAAACTATGTCGTATTTAAGAGTTTGGTTGATTGAGGCCCGGATTGAGATTTATGACGTCATTACATAATTTGAATTTAAAGCATGGTCATTAATGGTCATTGTGTAAACCAAATTAGAGAGAGGGAGTCTCCCTAAGACTGCTGCATATTCACTCGTTAATTGAGGTCACCTTGCTCGCCAATGATTGACGTACAAAAACTGAATACAAATGTGTTAATAGTTTGTGAATAGAATGACAATAGAGGGCAATTACCTATTAAACAATGGTGTACTGTTGAATGTCTGCAAGTGTTAACATTATATCATGAACCGGGAGAGGGTTGACGAAAAAAATGAGAACCGAGGAGCGTTTATTGATTTGGGCAAATTGTTGCATTGCCAATATGCCTAATATATACATGTACACTCCCCTCCATACGTTTAGCAACCTTAGTTCCCCAATTAAAAGACTCTTTACGTTTGAATTCTTATTTACTTTACTTGCGATGAAATAACTTATAATATTGATGGAAACGTAACTTGACTTTATTTCAAATACCTCCAATTTTTTTCCTCAATAACAATTGGTCAAATATTGATCGATGATAAGTTTGATGAATATTTGAAAATCGTCATTCTCATGTAATCCAATGGGAATTGGTGGGTTTTGGGCAAATCAGATATCAGGATATCTATTCAGTAAAAGATTCAGCAAAAATATGTTTAAATAGAAAAATTAAATTGTCTAACTTTTTTGTACACTGAGTGTTTAGTTTACTTAATGAATACTAAAGTTACAGAAACTCATTTTTCGCCTCCTGTGTTAACGTTATTTCAATGGTAGAGTTTTTTGAAAAACAAGTTTGACTTTAAAGACCTATCACAAGACAAAATCGTGTTTAATAACTAGCAATACCAATGGTACACCCATCTTACCCGGTGCTTAGTAGTCGCAATCCTTGATTATTGATACACTTATTTGGAAGGTTATTTGAGCTTACCCTTTGGTATTGATACACTTATCTGTGGTTTTTAGGCCCGAATACTGAGGTTTATTTTTTTAATTATTGAGTCTTATTTTATTTCATTAATATGTAGTTGACTTTGTAACTACGGGCGTGATATGATAGGTCTATTACATAATATGTATATATAAATATCGCGATGATTAATGAATCTAGAAGAAGACTAATCATTAAAACAAACTTAGACGACATTTAATATTTAAAGAAAAATATTTGATAGATAAATTATAGTCTCCTAGTAAAAAAAATTAAGGGAAACGGGTTTCGTGATTTAACAGAGGACAGCAAGGTGTTTACGATTCCGGGTTTACGATATTTATTTAGTTTGTAGATTAAAGATTCTTATTTAAAGACAACGTCGACTTTAGGAATTATTTAAGACATCAGTATTCTCAGAAATTGATTATCCGAAACGGATACCAAGTTCTGACCAGCAGACAAACAATTGCAGACATGGGCTTAGTTTGTTTATTTAACGGTTAGATTTGTTAATGACTTACTGATCCGTATTGTAATCTCTCGGAAGACGTTATTTTTATTTATTCTATACTTTGTATTTGCGTGCATTGTAGTAAAGTTGATACTTTTATGAACAAGAATGTCCTTTTAATGTTCATTTTGTATGCCTTTTATTTCCACACTATGTTTTGATTTTGCCTCGATGTTATTGTGTCATAGTGTTTTTGCTTTAAAAAGTCGAGAAATGTAAACTTTTTAATCAAGGAATGTTGGTTAATCTCTTGTGGTAAATCACATTGTTGATGATGTCAACGGACCATGAGATAACACATTCTCCGGGGAAAGATATCAATATCAGATGTATATCAGATAGAAAAATAAATATTATAGCAGATGCTAATTGTTTGCTCTGAAATAATGTGACTAATGACTATTCCAGCGAATCAGGTAGATACATGTATTTCTCCGGATTCCCGTAATGAAAGTATTTATTTTTCGTTTCTATTTATTTGACAAGTAGGGTCGTTGATAAACACATTAACTGTAAAAGTATTTATTGGAAGTACTTGTTTTAACAGTCTTTTCGCTTCTCTTTTTGTCTCTCAAATAGCATAGGCGTAGCCAGGGGGAGGGGTGCGGTGCCCCAGGTGCGGTGCATAACCAATAAAATAGAACCATGAAATAGAAGAAGAGGCAGAAGCTTCTAGCTCAATTTTGAAGGAAGTTGCATCATTTGGCTTGCTTTTGCCACGATCGCATCCCCCTCCCCCCGACTGAAAACCGATATTGTTTTTTTTGCCGATCGCACCCCCACACTGAAAGTTGGCTACGCCCCTGAACATGGATAATATAGGGGCACTATTACGCTGCGTGCAGAGTCTAGTTATAAACTACAAGAAGACGAAACTCTCTTTTAAGAAGTGAAGTCGAACGAATGCAAAGGGTAGGGGACTATAGAAGGGGATCATATAAAAGCACAATCTATTTCACAATGCCTTTAACTTTTTTTCTTCAACTGTTGCCCTTTGTGCATTTAAAAAATAAAATATCTTAATCTGATTTGTTCCACCTTTCTTGACGCTCAGTTCTGTTATATTATGTCCACATGTTGTTAATATGATTATGTCATTTGCGAAATAGCTGTAAGACATTATGAGAATGAATATGGGAGTTTCCACGATAATGTTGTTCACATGATTTTATACACATACCTGCATAACAATCGGAGACAGAAGCGGGGACAGAAGTCTTAATATTGTCCAATAAAAAAATAAGAATCTAACATTTAACAAAAGGATTAATTGCTTAGTTCTCTTTGTCTTAGTCTTTGTTTTCTTAAATGAGAAGTGTACCAACATCACCTAGATTACATAAGAGATCATCTAACAGTCTAAAATTGTTTTAATTGCAAGTTTAAGCATTCCGACCAAAATTTGTATACCTGTAATTTGGGGGGGGGGGCGATGTTACATCACATAATTACAACGTTCATATAGAAATATACAATAAGCATGTCCGTAAAGCTAAAATTATAAAAACTCATTTCAAAGT